GCGATGGTTGGGACCCCATGGCAGGCAGTGGCCTGTGCCACGCGTTAGGTTGCCTGACTGCCCCATCTAGTGGCAGCCCCACGGCCCGTGGAAGGGACCGGGACCACGACATGCTCACCCGGGACCCTTGTACCCACCATCACCCTGCCCGGCAGCCAGGCTGATCCCTCTGGAGCCCACAGCATCCACAGGGCTGGCAGCACGGCACGGGAACGTGGGCATGGAGGTACAGCAGCGGAGAGCACCCCACCACCACAGGGACTGCTGCGTGCCCCATCTCCCCAGCAGTAAATTGTCACTAATTAGGAGTGTTGTCACCATGGCAATGGCACTGATTAGGGTTGGGAGTGACACAAGCGGCTGCCAGGCCCAATTAGCTCCTGATGAGAGGGACCGAAGGAGGGAGGTGGGCGAGGAGGGGACACCAGGGATCCTGGGAGCACTGGGTGGGCAGCGCTGTGGGGGTGTGGGGGGCATGAACCCCCCTGGGGCAGGGTGCCAGCTGCCCCCTCAGCACCAGGCTGCTGTCCCCAGGGGGCCGTGGAGTGGCTGTGGGCCCCATCCTGAGCGACAGCGCCTCCGACATATTCTGCGGTAACGAGAACAGCCCCAATTTCCTCTTCCACAACCGGGGGAATGGGACATACCAGGATGTGGCAGCTGCTGTGGGTGAGTAGGGGGAGCAGGGGGAGGACCCGGGTGTCGGGGTCCCCAGGGCAGGGCTGGCTCTGCCCGCCCAGGCAGGCTGAGCACAGGGTGGAGGGACAGCCCTGGGGATGCTGACTGCTGGGGGTGGCTGAGATGCACAAGGGCATCCCTTGGGGCAGGGATGCAGCCCTGCGTGGGGAGGACCTGTCTGGGGACTGCAGGGCACATCCCAGGAGGCATCCTGGGGAGACGGAGGCAGGGAGGGGGTCCCGTCTCCCCCCGTCCCCTTGCGGCTCCCCAGGGCTGGATGACCCCTACCAGCACGGACGTGGCGTGGCACTGGCTGACTTCAACCGGGATGGCCGGGTGGACATCGTCTACGGCAACTGGAATGGGCCGCACCGCCTCTACCTGCAGAGTGGGGGCCCTGGCCGGGTCCGATTTCGGGTGAGGGCTCGAGCCAGGACCTCCCCCCACCGCCAGCTTTGCTGACGAGCACCCTTGGCCAAGGGCACTGGCTTCACCCAGATTTGGCTTCAAGCCCCAGTTCCCAGCGGGGAGGGAATATGGAGCACCAAAGCAGGACATAGTGTCCTGCTCCCCGTATCTGGTGTCACCCTGTGCCCATCCTTTGCACAGGACATCGCCACCCCCAAGTTCTCCATGCCATCCCCGGTCCGCACCGTCATAGCAGCCGACTTCGACAATGACCAAGAGTTGGAGGTTTTCTTCAACAACATCGCCTACCGTGGCTCCTCCGCCAACCGCCTCTTCCGGTAGGAGCCCAGCAGGTACTGGGGGGGCCCAGCTGCCCTCGCGGCACAGCCAGGCTCACGGGGCTCCTCTCCAGCAGTGCCACTGCTCAGGCTCGGCTAATAAAAGGCACCGTGACTGAGCCCTTCCCGGCATCATTACCAGCTGCTGCGATCGTGCCTGCAGCAGCCCCCGGGGTCCCCGGCACTGCTGATTAGCAGCCGTGTGGAAGCTTGTTCGTGGCTCCTGTTAATTGTGGGGGTCAATTCCTCGTTACTGCTGCATGGCACCTCCTCACCCGGCATGTGGGGTGGTGGGAGTTGGTTGTCCCCGCCTGGTGCTGGTGCCCGTGGGTGGGTGGTGGGCAGTGGTTGGCAGTGTTTGGAGATGGCGCTGCTGCTCCACAGTTCAGTCCCACAAGAGACAGGCTCTCATGACATCCCTGTCACCCCTCCACGGAGCAGGGATGTGAGGTGCCAACAAGCAGGGGCCAGTCCTGTCCTCCATCCACCCTGCAAAGCCACCAGCATCACTACCAGGGCTGTCACCTCTCTGCAAGGTTGCTCAAGGGGGACAGGGAGCTGCCGGGGGCCACAGGGCTGGCGCTAAGGCCCTGTCTGTGCTCCGCAGGCTCGTCCGCAGGGAGCACTCAGATCCCATCGTGGAAGAGCTGAATCCAGGGGATGCACTGGAGCCTGAGGGACGGGGCACGGGTGAGTCCCCCCCTGGCAGGGGCAGCCCGTGCTGGGGGTGTGCTACAGCACTGCCTGACACCCTCCATGCCTGGGGATGCTGCATGCCCAGCTTCATCGCCTGCCCACTCACCACCAGCCCACTGCAGCCCCCGTGACCCAGTACCCTCCACCTGTACCCAGCTAGGGTGCCATCTCCAGTTGTTCCCCAGGGCTGTGTTCCTGGGGAGCTTCTTCCTGGATTCCCACTGTTCAAAGCCAACCTCTGTGTTCGGGAGGGGGCCAGACTGCGTCTCACAGCCCCCCAGGCACTGCCTGCCTCTGTCCCCTCACTGCCCGGGGGGCTGACCCACCTGATTGCAGGGTGCCACCCATACAGGGCCCCTAAAGCCTGCACTGGGGTCACCCCATCTTCCCTAATGCCTCTGCATCACCGGGAGTGCTATTGCCAGCGCTGGCAGCAGGGTGTAGTGCTTAAAGACACGGAGCTGGGCCCCAGACACAACCTGATCCTGTCCTTGCAGGGGGTGCAGTGACAGATTTTGACGGTGATGGGATGCTGGACCTGATCCTGTCCCATGGCGAGTCCATGGCACAGCCCATCTCCATCTTCAAGGGCACCCAGGTGAGTCAAGCAGGGGGTCCTCATGTTGTCCCCATCCCTTCCACCTCTCCCGGCTCAGCCTCCCTGCTCCCTTCCAGGGCACCGGCAACAACTGGCTGCGTGTCATTCCCCGCACCCGCTTCGGGGCCTTTGCACGGGGGGCCAAAGTGGTGCTGTTCACGCGGCGCAGTGGAGCCCACCTGCGCATCATCGATGGTGGATCGGGGTACCTTTGCGAGATGGAACCCGTGGCACACTTTGGACTGGGTGAGCCAGGGGGGTAAGGGGCTACCTCCGCCCCCAGTCCTCCCAAGCCTTTGATGGGCTTCTGAGCCCTGCACTCCCTGCTGGTCAGGGACCACCTCTGCCGCCCTGATGCCCTGCAGCATGGTGGTCATCCATGCCCATCATCCTGGGCATGGTGGGCTCCAGGGGAGGCTGCAGGCAGGGTGCTCAGCTGCTGCAGCCCTGCTGCAAGGGGCAGCTGCTCCCTTCCCCACCCTCTGTCTGCTACTTTGCCCAGGCACCAGGGCTTTCCCTGCCCATTAACCCTTCCCTGGCTCAGCGTGGCCAGCAGCCAAGCCTGCAGGGCTGTCCCTGCCCGCTGGCAAGACAGCCCATCATCCCCACATGCACCCCATCCCTGTGCATGGGCTGTCAGCACGGGCGCCTCGGGGAGCAAGGGGAGGCTTTGCCCCTCCATCCCTACCACCACCCCCCACCTCCTTTCAGCCCCTGTCTGCCCCGGAGAACCCCCCTCTGACAGGCTGCCCGCCTGCAGGGCACGACGAAGCCAGCAGCCTGGAGGTGACCTGGCCGGACGGCCGCGTCATGGTGCGAGCTGTGGCCAGCAGTGAGACCAACTCCGTCCTGGAAGTCCCCTACCCTCTGGACGTGGAGGAGCCACTCATGCCTGCCCCGCTGGAGGTGAGGGCCAGGTGTGGGTGCAGAGTGGGAGGCTTTGGGGGCAGGAACGATGGGCTGGGCTCTGCTGGCTCAGTGGCTGCCCAGGGCTGATTCCTCCCCATCCTGGCGGTCTCCGCTTCTCCCCAAATGCAGTGCGGGCAGGGATTCTCCCAGCACGAGAACGGACGCTGCGTAGGTGAGTGGTTGCTGAGGGCACAGCCCTGCCTGCCCCTGGGATGCTGCAGCATGGCCCGGTGGGCACAGCGGGGACACGAGGGCAGCAGCCGAGGAGGTGGCTGGGCATGCAGGCAGGGCTGCTACGTAGCTCAATGCAGGGTATGGCTGCCTGCCCGGCACTGGGTGTGGGAATGGAGGCAGTGGCATGGCTCTGGAGGGGACCCGCGGTGTCACAGGGAGGGGGTAGGGTGCTGTGCTAGGGGTGGGAGGCACGGCTGGCGTGTGGCGGGCATTGCACTAGAGCTACAAGTGATGGATGGGCAGCGGGGATGTGACAGGGTGGCCGTGCCATGAGCCTGCCAGGCAGAGGCATGGCTTGTGCATGGG